GACCAGGTAGAAGGCCAACAGATGTAGGTGACGGATGCCCTAGAGCAGCAACTGTCAACTTTTTTCATCTCATGGCACACATAAACTAATTACTAAAATTTGGGGGCACACTAAAGGATATATTTTTCAACACTCTCACCAAAAAGATAGAATTTTGATTGATTTACAATAATAATAATAATAACGATCTACCATTTGCTCCAAAGTAACTTAAAAAAAAAATCAGGTGCCTATACTTGTATATAAGGATTTCTGATACCAAGCGTTAACCAATCAGACACAACCATATCATACTATGTGATCAATAATGCAACTCCACTATATGACCTATATATTATGGTTCAAGACTGGGCATTCGCACTGGACAGCTATTGTTGTGTTGGCTGTTTTTTTATTTGACAACCTAAGGGAAAAAAGGTCAGTGCCCCTGACTACATAGGTATTGAAGCACACTGGTGGAAAATCGCTGCCCTAGAGGAAAAGAGCGTCTTCAGGCTGTCTTTCTCTTCTGCCTCTGATGCAGAATTTGATGCTGTGGTTGATTATTTAGAGGACATTATCATGGATGATGAGTTTCAGTTATTAGAGAAATTTTACAGACAAGTACTACTAGGAGTTTGAAGACAGAGAAGAGAATAAGCTCACCTACACACCTATTTTTAACAAATATATTTCTTTGATAGAAAAGTATATTGAAGAACAGCTGCAGGAGCAGACTCCTGGGTTTAACATGGCGGCTTTCACAATATCACAGCACCATAAAGGTGAAGTAGCTGGTGACGTATTTGACGTGCTGCTCATGTTTACTGATTTTCTGGCACTTAAAGAAATGTTTCTGGACTACAGAACAGAAAAAGGCTGGGAACTGGACTCAAGCAGTAGTTTGGTGGTGATTTCATTGTGTAAATTATCCCCTGTGCCAGCTTTGCAGAACAATCTGTGGCCCTAGGTCCCATCTCTAGGCAATGAGATTGTTCTGGACATTAGCAGCCCAGTATACTGGGAGAGATTTCAGCCCCATGGCAAAAGGATAGATCTTGGAAAGACTGGCTCTGTTCTGCAACTCTTCAGTAAGTTTTGATGGATCCAAAAAAAAAAAAAAATTACCTGACCCTCCTGGGACCTATTTCTCCAGAAAAACCTTATGCTCAGTAACCTTGATACTTCTCCCCAAGCAGATGCCTCTTTTAGCAGCTTCTGAGTCAGGCTCCTCTGGAGCAAGTCCACACTCAGCATTCCACCTGGGGGCCTTCCCCAGCGCAGATGTTGGTATGTCAGCACCCACGGTGACCAGCCCTCTTTGCCCCAGCAGACTTTGCATGAATCTGTTTGTGCACTTACAGCTTTTTCCATGCATCCAAGTTTCAGTCCTCCAGCCTCAATGGGGTTTTTACTGTTCAGGAGTATTTATCTAGGGCACAAGCCAGTGGCCTGTCTTGAGATTTCTGGAGCTCCAATTGCCATAGATAGTCTTGGTTGTAGGCATCAAGTGAAAGATGTCTTTTACCTAAAAGCTACATGTGAAAATTAATTCCTAGTCTTGCACTTGCAGTCCCTGTATCTCCATGTCTTCTGCTGCTCCTGATGAAGACCCGCTGTATTTAGAACTTTCTTTTAAGCATTTTTGAAAAAATATTTTTATAGATGAATACTCAGGCTAACCTAAGTGGATGTAATAGTGGGACTTTCACGATTACCTCCTTAAAGATCAAAGTAGTATATGCTGTGTTTTTTGTTAGTGCTATAAAAGCAAAATGCTTTCTATGTTGGCGCTCCTATTTTACTGGGCACCAGTGAATGTGTCCTTATGCTGGAAGTAGACAAAAGGTATCATTTTCTCCTTTACTTAGAGCATGTTAAGTGTTGTGTGGGTTTGCTTAAAACCCTTTCTGTATAAATCAGTTTATTAGGTTTTCTGTTGGGGTAGGGGTTCTGCAATTCTTCCTGACAAAACCTTCCTATCAAGACATGTTCTACTGGCCTAACTCAGCAGAAATAGGAGATAGCAAACAACTTCTCTACTCATCTGTCTGCTTTGATTTAGTACACATGCTTAGCATGGCGATTTTCAACCAGTGTGCTGCAACATGCTTGTATGCCACGAGAATTTTTAAAATATGCGATACCTCACTATTTAGTCAAGGGCATTGACCTCTTTTCCCTTAGTTTATCAAATGAAAAAAAAATTACAACAGCCAACACAATAGCCGCCCAGTGTGAATGAATAAAAAAATTATACCTAGCCCAGCTGGGCGTAGCTCAGTGGTTTAACATCGACCTAGGATCCAGGAGATCACGGTTCGATTCCCAGCCAGGGCACATGCCTGAGTTTCGGGTTCAAGCCCCAGTAGGGGGCGTGCAGGAAGCGGCCAATCAATGATGAACCACATCACTGATGTTTCTATCTCTCTCTCCCTCTCCCTTCCTCTCTCTGAAATCTATAAAGGCATGTTTAAAAAAAAGTAAAAAATATATATATATACACATACCTTTTTTTGTCAGATTGGCAAAAAATATATTTTTTGTTGTACTGCAGAATTTTAGTAATTAGTTTATGTGTGCAAAGAGGTGAAAAAGGTTGAAAATTGCTGGCTTAGTATGTTTGAAGAACATTACTAACCAGAAACCATGGATGTCACATCTCTAGAAAGAAAAAAAATAGTAATTTAATTCCCAATGTGTACCTTAGATTTTTATTTTTTTAAGTAAAAATAAGAATCCGAGTTGACTGCTACTGCCCACAGATCATTCTCAAGAAGCTCTCTGATCTTCATCTTAGCTTCCTATAGATCAGTAAACTTAGGGATACTTCTTTAGCCCTGCTTCAGAATGCACAAGGTCATCAACTTTCACTTTCCTTCATGAAGACCCTCTTACAGGAAGACCGCAAATGTCATCATTTGTGACAACAAAATCTTCAAAGCAAATGGGAAGATAACTTGTAGGGAAATCATAATAAAATATGTTTCCTTAAAAAAAAAAAAAAAAAAAAAAAAGAATCTGTACTGACTTTTCACTTGACTGTTCTGGTTTTAAAGGATAAACTATTGGCTATGTTTTCTGTACTGATGTGGCACCTATTAAATACTTTTGTACTGTGAGTAAAATTTAAAAGAAAAAGATATGGTTACAAGCAGCTAAAATTGCTTTGGAGGTGAGAATATAAAAAGTTGATTCCACTGGAGACAGGTGACTGCCCACAGTAGGATAGTTTCTCAGAAAATGTCTCAAAAATGGAGGGAATGGTATGCAACAGTATCTGTTCCCCAGTGTCTTGGACCATGTTTAGTCCACAAGGTTAAAAAAATGAGGAACAGGAGATGATGGAATAGATGGGGTGACTAAATGGCCCAAAGTCAAGGAGAGGGCACAAAACCTATTGCCTATCTGGTACTCTCAGACTTGGCAGCTTCTGTATACCCTTTTTTTCCATTAAACAACTGGTTTGCCCGGCCGGGCGTGGCTCAGCGGTTGAGCATCAACCTAGATCCAGGAGATCACGGTTCGATTCCCAGTCAGGGTACATGCCAGGGTTGCAGGCTCAATCCCCAGCAGGGGGTGTGCAGGAGGCAGCCGATCAATGACTCTCTCATCATTGACGTTTCTCTTTCTCTCCCTCTCCCTCCCTCTCTCTGAAATCGATATATTAAAAAAAAAAAACTGTTTTGTATATATTTAACCATCTCAATGGTTCTAAAATAGCTTATCAATTAATTCTCTTAAGATTGGTAGTCATATTTTCTATAAGTAATTTTGCCTCTTAATACTTTCATATTTATCACATTTGCTTTAATGAATACTCTTCTAAAGTTGTAATGATGAAAAGGTGTTGAAATTTTTAAGAGGTTATGAGAGATCTCTATGGGCCAGCACCTCAGGGTCCCTAGACTGAGAAATGATTTCAGTTTTAGGGGAAAGTCACAAAAATCTAGGTCTGTACTGTCTTATACAGTAGCCACAAATAGCTATTAAAACATGCTCGTGCAAAATGAAGTATGCTACGGTACATGTGAAATACAGAGTTTCAGACTTTGTATGAAAAAAGAATGTAAAATATATCACTTTTAACAGTATTGATTACTTTTGAAATAATATTTTTGATAGATTGGGTTAAATAAAATAGGTTATTAAAATCAAAAAAGAAAGAAAGAAAAGCTACAGGAGATACATGATAGGACAGAGGCAAAGTAAAACAGCTAAGAAGCATGCAACATAAATTGACTCCAGGAGTTCATATCTAAAGCAGACTGTAGTCTACATATCGCAATTTACAATTTCAAAGACAAGTAAACGTTAGCCCTGGCCAGTGTGGCTCAGCTGGTTGAGTGTCATCTCATGCAGTGAAGGGCCGTCAGTTCAAATTCCCAGTCAGGGCACATGCCCAGACTGTGGGTTGGTTTGATCCCTGGTTGGGATGCATACAGGAGGCAACCAGTTGATGTTTCTCTCTCACATCGATGTTTCTTCCTCTCTAAATCAATAAATATATATATATATTTTTAAAAAGGACAAAGACAAGTAAATTTTCTTTTGAAGTTTAACATGATGAATGAGTTATAAACTAAAATTACACTTAAATAATTTCAGGCAAACAGTAGTCCCTAGTTTAATGAGCAGTTAGTAGCAAACTATAACTTAAATTTAATACTAAACCCAAATTAAACAAGTTATTTGCTAAAAGTAGTCTTTTACCCTTTTGAAAACTCCAAAGCCACTTATCATTTGAATTTTTAAAGTACTGAAATAATTTGGATTCTCTAAGGTTTTTGAACTAGAGGCACACAGATACAAAACATTAAGATCATTCTAGATCTTACAAATAGTAGCCCTGAAAATGACATTATATTGAGCATTTGTTTAAAAGTGTGCCAATTAAATGCATACTGAGATAAAGGTGCTTTCCTGTCAGGAAGGGATTTCATCATTCTAGTTGTGTCACTCAATGTGTAAGTAAGGGTTTCACACATTTAGCAGAAACACTAAATTAAGAGATCAGATGGCCCGGGTTCTAGTGCCAGTTTTATTTGTAACTAACCATGTACAAATCACTTATCTTTAAAATAATGATTAACATCTATTCCCTAATTCACAAACACATCACGAAACCAAAATCCTTCCCAAGAAAACCTCTTTGTAAACCAATATATTACTACTAACTAGCTTATACCTAACTTAAAAGTTGAGAATGACAACTTAAAAGATTTGTCTTTTATCAATTGGTTGCATACCTTAATTCTGCAGATGAATAATATGGTTGAGATAAGCATTGTCCTATTTCAACCTTATAAAACAAAAAGGTATCAACAGAAGTTACGGGTGAAAAAAAGTTGGCCAAAAAAATAACACTCTAGAGAACTCACTTTTCTGTTAAAAGCAGTGCTTATACCATCCCTGTTATCAATGGAACAAAAGTTAGCCTTAGGCCACTAAAACATATTTGCTTTATTTCACTGGAAATAATGTTAAGCAGGAATGTCTTGTGGGCTCTTCAAATGGCCAATCAAAATGGCTAAGAAAACAACATTGTGTGTTGTTTTGTTTTAATACTTTTCTTTCCCTCTTTTTTTTCATTCAAAATTCAATTCCCCATCCCAGAGCACACTCCTCAGTACTCCACCAGGGTATAATAAATGTTAGTATTTGGTCACTAGAGAATTAACAGAGAAAAGGAATTAGCCTGTTATTGAACAAAGATCCAAGATAATTCTAAGTGGTATAAAAAAATTTATGGACCATAAGCATCTGTATATGTACACCATTTACCATGTATAGGTATTATGAAAACCTTATGTATTTACAGACCCTCTTAAAAGGTAAGCACCTATATGTTCTTGTATTTAACAATGTCAATTTTGTGCAATTTAGTTTCTATTTCTGGCCTTCCCCTCACATCATGGTGATACAAAAAAATAAATAAATAAAAATGAAAAAAACCAAAGACTAGAACATTGGTTCACAGAGAAATACAGAACAGATATAAATACCCTAATAAAATAACCATGTATATCACTGCTTAGGGAAATATTTTAAAGGAAATATACTTTCACTATTGGCCCCAAATGCCATCATCCACTTATGTTCTTTAACGGTCAACTTTTAATACAAAAATACCTTCAAACTGATACTCATTTATAGTAACTTACAAAACTGACAGAATATTTCAATGCTACACAAAACCGTTCTATACACGGCTTAAAAGTTTTAAAGTTCTCTGCTGGCCCTTGATTTTATAGTTGATGGACACAGTAACTACTGATCTCAATAAAATACTGTTTTTAGCTTATACATATTTTCAAAACCAGAATTACCTCACAAAACAGTAAAGAATAAATCACTTCCTGCTGAAGAATCCTCTAAGACAAACACCAAAACTATACAGCCAAAATATTTTAGGAGACCATATAAACTTTTTAAGACAAGGCGTCACCAATGGACAAAATTTACGTTATTCAATGATTTGTCTAGTGAAAAGGATAGTTTCTCTGATTTGATGAAGCATGTATCAGGTTGAAAAGGATAGTTTCTCTGATTTGATGAAGCATGTATCAGGTTGCATATGAAAAATATGAACTTATATATCACCTTGGGTTTTTTGTTTGTTTTTGGTTTAGAAGGGTGTTTCAGTNTGAAAAATATGAACTTACATATCACCTTGGGTTTTTTGTTTGTTTTTGGTTTAGAAGGGTGTTTCAGTAATTGGTGACTCTACTAGAATGGATGTTTTTTAAGATAGAAAAATGGTCATTTAGCAAAAATACATTTTACATTTCAAAATCAGAGGCTAAATTTTTTTAAAACCATGGAATCCTGATTTTTTATTTTTTACTTTCTGTGGGCTTTTCTATTCTGCACTATATCAAAATGAAATCACTATTTAATAAGGTTTATATGTTCAATTTTTTTCATTTGCAAAAGGGAAGAAAACCAAACCAAATTTAACAAACTAGATTAACTTAGAATACTAAAGAATACTTTAAAATTTGGTAAATCTATTACTTTCATTATTCTGAAGGAAAATATAAATCTTCAAAACCCTATCATGTTTCTAGTCTAATTTTCTATTCTAAAAATTAAAAAGTTAAATTCCTTACGGCAGGCACTAAATAGAATTAAAGTTAACAAAAGGCTATATTAGGTAACCAAAATGTAAACAGTGCAACTAATTAATACAATTCACTGGTGCAATGAATATTTGAACAATGAAAAAAACCACCAAGCATTCTAATGAATTACATAGTTCTTTTTTTGCATATTTTAATCTTGACTTTTAACATAGTAAATTATTATATAGGTTGATTCATGGACTGTTTAAAATTTTTAACATTAGTAATTCAAACATTAGCCTTTCTAAACCAAATCTGCGGTCCTAATCAATTTTTTTTTTAGGAAAAGAATATTTTTTTAAATACATTACATAGCAGTAGAAACATCTTAGTGATTCAAAATATTTACAAAGAACCCTGCTGACCCTGTGCATTTCGCTGAGGTGCAACCTGCACCCAGACTTCATCATCAGAAAAAGAACTTGAACTTCCTGACTCAGAGTCCAGCTCACTGAATCCATCTAAGTCCCAATCATTACTAGACTCACTTCGTGCATCATCTTCCTCAGTGATGAAACTCTGACCAGGTTCAAGGCAAGAAGGATAAACACGAGCACAGAGGCAAATAAAGCCAGAGTCGAACTGCAGAAGACCTAACATGGTACCTATATTAATCCACTGGTCTTCCCTAGTATCATATTCATACACAGTCACCCGGTTTTTTTTCCACTGTGGAGTGGTAGAAGTGATGAGGAGCAACTTTTGGCCATGACTGACAATCTGATAGTTGTGGATCTCTGAGAACAAGGGAATATTACTAATCCTCCGCCATTCTCCCCTGGCTGGGTTATAGACCTTCATGACCGGGATGTCACAGATACAATAGATCTCATCATTGAAGACACAGGCTTCCTGAAAGTCACTACGTTTAAGAGAAGCACAGTTCAACCACATATTGTGGCTAGGATCATAGCAGAGCATGCGCTTACTGTTCACAGCATAAAGGTAGTTCTGAACCACTATTAGTTCAAAGGAATAGAAGGAATGGGGTACAGGAGCCACCAGTGCCCACTGGTTCCTCTGAACACTGTAGCATTCCACTTCCTTCAACTTAATTCCAGTAATTGGGTCTCGCCCACCCAAGATGTAAATGTAGCCATTGAGATAGGCCACATCCATGCCTTCACGACAGAGCAAGCGATCTGCAAGTTGCTGCCAACTATTCTGAGCTGGTTTATACACCCAGAGGTGTTTCCTGGGCTGGGCAGCTAGATAAATGTCATGGTCTGGAGAAACACAGACAGCTGAGGAGGTGATCGTTTTAGTGTGAGCCAAGCTGGCCAAAGGTGATGGCATTGTGTAAATGTCCCCAGAGTATGGGTCATAGCAGAGAAAAGGATCTCGAAGATGTCCAAAGAAGATCACCATCTCCTTGGCACACATACCCAGCCTCTGGGGTGGATTTTCTGCTGTGGATACAACAGAGCTGCTGCTGCTGCTGTCTGGCTTTGGCACCACAGACTTGTATAACATGTCACCATATCTCATCTGCAGGGCCCCTTCAATAAGGTCAAGACAGTACTTCTTCACAATGGGCTTCGTCAACAGCCCTTCCAGGTAATCCTGATCTTGATCAGTGAAATGTGTCCAGCGGACACACTTGAAGACTTCTGCAGCGCTGGGACCCCGCTCCTTGGGAGCCGCCTCCAACCACTGCACCGCAACGTGACACACTGTCCGCTCACTCTCGATATCTAGACTATCCAGGCGCAAAACAGCCTGCAGCTGGGCCAGGGTCAGATCTGCCAGAGTCTCCTCCTGGACTGAACCCATGCGGCTGAGCTGTTTGAAGTTGTGGGCTATGAAGGACTGCGCCTGGGATCGCAGCTTGTGATGGTCGAAGGCATCAGCGAACTTGAGGATGGCGGTGCAGTTAGCCAGGTCAAGGCGGCGGGCCAGGAAGGAGGCACAGGCCTCCCGCACATACTCCAGCTGTAACATGTCGGAGGCGGCGTAAAGGCGCTCCACGTTGGCCTCACTCAGGGACACGCGACCTGTGTAGCAGTACTCGACCAACACCTCGAAGGACTCGGCATCCACATCGTGCATGGTCACATTGGCCTGCTGGCTCTCGTACATGCCGCCCGTGAACATGCTCTTGAAGTAGGGACATGCGGCAGCCAGCACGTTACGGTTGCAGGAAAAAAGGCGGCCTGTGCCAGGCCCACTGCCGGGCGTCACCACCTCGATGGTCACATCACACAGCAGCCGAGAGTCATAGAAGGACTTGAGCTGTGCCAGCAGGGCTGCAGAATGGGCCGTGTCCTTCAGCTCCTCTGGGCCCGTGAAAAAAGCAGAAACGGAGGGTTTGGAAATCCTCTTAGGCCGCCTCACACCACGGGGACTGGCGAGGCGGCGAGAGCGGGGGGCGTCTTCCCGGGACTGCATGGTGGAGATGGCGGCGGGAGCTGAGGGCGAGCACGGGTTAGGCTAGGAGCGGGCTCTGGCTCCTCCTCACTNGGAAGAGGCGGCCTGTGCCAGGCCCACTGCCGGGCGTCACCACCTCGATGGTCACATCACACAGCAGCCGAGAGTCATAGAAGGACTTGAGCTGTGCCAGCAGGGCTGCAGAATGGGCCGTGTCCTTCAGCTCCTCTGGGCCCGTGAAAAAAGCAGACACCGTGGGCTTGTGGATCCTCTTGGGCCGTTTCCCACCACGGGGACTGGCGAGGCGGCGAGAGCGGGGGGCGTCTTCCCGGGACTGCATGGTGGAGATGGCGGCGGGAGCTGAGGGCGAGCACGGGTTAGGCTAGGAGCGGGCTCTGGCTCCTCCTCACTCACCCTGCTATCGCTGTCGCAACGACGGTACAGCGCGCAGCAGGGGCCGCACCTACTTAACTCCGCACTAGGCAGCGGGGCCGCTCCCTTTATCGCGTAGGGGGTGCCTGACTCACCCGTTCGCAGCTCCGCGCCCTTTCTCTGCCTCAGCTCGCCGTCACTGCCCGCGGGCTGACACCAGGGAGCCGCCGCCGCCGCGCTGGCAGTCCCGACAGCCGTCCTGAACTGCGACTCCCAGGCTGCCTTTCGCGCCTCGAGGCACGCCGGGGCCCTCAGACCCACGCGCATAGGCTGCTGAGCTGACGCCGCTTTGCCTGTTGGGAGTAGTAGTTTGAGTAATAATATCGCGAGGTTTCTTGGGTCAGCCTGCTTTGACTAACAAAATCAGAAAAGCGGTAATTCTCCAGGATCTGGTGGCTTAGCTTTGGCTTTGCTCCATTTTAATATGCATTCGTGACATGATCTCTTTAAGAGAACGCTTCCCTCTTTGTAAAATAGGGATAGTACTCATAAGATTGTGTTTGGATGGACTGAGATAAATTGCCTCGGATGTAGGAAGCTTCAATAAATGTTTGTTGATTAGAACAGAAATTAAGTGTTTACGCCGTGCCTAGCATATAAAGATTTAAACATTGTTAGCTTTCCTTTTAGAATTTTTGAAAAATGAGACATCCCCCTAATTTGAAACCATGAGCAATTTGTGCAAAGGAAACTGCCAGTTTTTCATGATGCTTCTTTTGAAAGGTTGTGAGGGGTATTACACTAGTTTCAATAATAAACGATATGCATAGGTTCATTAAGATGTCATAGACAAAAATGACGTCATAGAAAACAGCACTTGTAGATGGCCTTAAATAGGCAAATCAGGAATGTAGGTAGATGAGCCAGTATCTATCGACACTTAATCTCCTAGAGAGCAAGATTATTTTCTCTTTTTATTAAAAATTGAGTATCCGTTTTATGTTTTTTAATTTATCTTTATATTTGAAAGTATTACAGATGTCCCCCCCTTTTGTCCCATTGAACCATTCCACTCCCCCCCAGCAAGATTATTTCCATAGCCTTATTATTATTATTATTATTATTCAATATATTACAGATGTCTCCTTTTTTCTGCATTGACACCACCCCCCACTCCCCACTTCCCTTCCCAGGCCTTCACCACACTATTGTCTGTGTCCGTGGATCATGCATATATGCATATAGATTCTTTGGTTAATCTCTCCCCACCCATGCACCCCCACCTTCCCTCTGAGATTTGTCAATGTGATGCATGTTTCCATGTCACTGAATCAATTTTGTTCATCAGTTTATGTTCTTTAGATTCCACATATAAGTGAGATCATGTGATGTTTGTCTTTCTCTACCTGGTTTATTTCGATTAGCATAATATTCTCCAGGACCATCCATACTGTCCCAAAGGGTAAGAGATCCTTTTTTTTCTTTTTCTTTACAGCTGTAGTATTCCATGGTGTGAATGTCCCACAGCTTTTTTATCCACTCATCTTCTGATGGGCATTTGGGCTGTTTCCAGATCTTAGCTATTGTAAATTGTGCTGCTATAAACACAGGGGTGCATATATTCTTTCTATTAGTGTTTCAGGATTTTAAGGATATATTCCTACAAGTGGGATCNTATTCTTTCTATTAGTGTTTCGGGATTTTTAGGATATATTCCTACAAGTGGGATCACTGGGTCAAAAGGCAGCTCCATTTTTAATTTTTTGAGGAACCTCCATACTGTTTTCCATGGTGGCTGCCCCAGTCTGCATTCCCACCAGCAGTGCACTAGGGTTCCCCCTTTCTCCACATCCTCACCAATACGTTTCATTTGTTGATTTGTTGATGGTAGCCATTCTGACAGGTGTCAAGTGATATCTCACTGTGGTTTTAATTTGCATCTTTCTGATGATTAGCGACATTGAGCATTTTTTCATATGCCTCTTGGCCATCTGTGTGTCTTCTTTGGAGAAGTGTCTATTCAGGTCTTTTGCCCATTTTTCAATTGGATTGTTTGTCTTCCTCTTGTGAAGGTGTGTTTCTTAAAATATTAGGGGTAGTAACCCTTTATCAGATGTATCATTGGCAAATATGTTCTCCCATATAATGAGTTCCCTTTGCATTTTGTTGATGGTTTCTTTGTGCAGAATCTTTTTANCACCATGGGGTTCCTTTGTATTTTGAGACTGATTTCTCAAAATACAAGAAGGGGACGAGAAGCTTTTTAGTTTGATGTAGTCCCATATGTTTATTTTTTCTTTTGTTTCTCTTGCCCTGGGAGATGTATCAGTGAAAATTCCACTAAGTGAGCTGTGACTTACTGCCTATGTTTTCTTCCAGGATTTTTATGGTTTTGCAACTTGCACTTAGGTCTTTTATCCATTTTGAGTTTATTCTTGTGTGTGGANCGCGACTTGCATTTAGGTCTTTTATCCATTTTGAGTTTATTCTTGTGTGTGGAGTAGGTTGGTGATGTAGTTTCATTTTTTTGCATGTGNTGCAACTTGCACTTAGGTCTTTTATCCATTTTGAGTTTATTCTTGTGTGTGGAGTAGGTTGGTGATGTAGTTTCATTTTTTTGCATGTGAATGTACCTGCCTGCCCAAGTCTCCCAACACCATTTATCGAAGAGACTGTTTTTACCCCATTGTATGCT